TTTCCCTCACTTGATGTCACTTTAAACTGCAGCAATAAGTCATTCTGCGCATTCTACTAAATGACATTAGTTTACACCGACAGAGTTTGTCTCTGTGTGTGGCATGAAATGGTAAACAGAGACGCACACAGTCGCAATGAAGCTTAAATGTTTTGGAAAGACTCAAGTGCTGGGTGTCACAACAGGATATTGACTAATGCCTCAGCTTTCAAAACTGCTATAATGGGTGATCATAAGGCCACACGGTCTCTAATTCTACACAGAGTAAATACAGAGAAGAGTGTGCAGCACTGAGAGCGGCTGCATTTTTTAAATGATTGATTTCATTTAAATCATTGAGTGCATGTTTTTGAACTCGACAGCCTTATCCCTAGTTCGAATCATGAACATGCAACATTGTACTCTCTGAAGACTGACTGGCTTTGCATGGTGAACTGACACATCATAGACAAGAAAGTTAGACAGAGAATGGTCTCTTGAAATAATGTTGCTTATTTGTCATTCACATTCTTCTGTTGGCATAAATCCATTGCTGATGATTTTGCATAACCAAATGGATGTGATATGTGAAACATTCTAGCTATTAATTTTGCTAACTAGTGGATTAATCGAATGTGTTGCATGCAACTTTGGTTTAATTTTTTAATTGCAGTTGTAACTGTCAGGCTGGCTTTACACAGTGAAACTTGCATGCAAGTAGTTGCATATTATGAGTTGCCTGCAACATAATTTCAGTTAAAAAACAATGCAAGTTGCATGCAGAACATTCCATTGCTCCACTAGTTAGGTAAAATAGTAGCTTGTGTTTTTAAATATATCGTATTGTTCTTGTGATACAAAGTCATCCGTGAGGTGTAATTTACATTTTTGCAGCGTTTTGTATATCTTTTCAGTATGTGTTAAGCCTTTGAATATTAACGTAATTAAGTAGGCCTAGCCATTATGATTATAGCACTATCAAGAGAAGAGAAAATCAGTCTAGCTATGTTAATCAAAGTAGCAGCAGGCATAAGGAGAAAAAGTCACACAAACAGCCATTTAAACAGCTATTACCATTAACACAGCTGGCTACACAAATGGTAGCTTTGAGAAATTCATGTTGTTATCATGGCTCAGGAAACTGACAAAATGAAAAACTATCAACCTTACTTAATGTTGGTCTCAGCGGGGTTGGGGGTTGTCTCCTTTTCAACCACCCAATCAACCATCTTCTGTTTAATTTTCCTGCTCATTTATCTAGTAAAAATTGTCTGAAAATATGTTGTTCGATATTATAATATGATGTGCTGTTGCAGCTTTGATTGGCTGTTTCATGAAACTGGTTTCACAAAGTTGAGACTGAAATTGCAAGATAGTTTCACTGTGTAAAGCCAGCCTCAGGATGCACAGAAGTCTTGTGCGACTTACAACCTGCAACTGGTTACAACCATAGTTTCACGGTGTTAAGTCATCAATAGGTGTAATAAGATTTCCCACCCACATCTTTGTTGTGAATGTGTTTGTTCTAGGCTTATGCTGTGGCCTTCAGATAATCACTAATGACAGCACTACATTTTCTCATGGATCCATATAAAACTACTTCACAGCAACCTGACCTGAAAGCTGAAAGCTAATGGGCAAAACAGGATGACTTAACGAAGAAACATAAACAAACAACACCAGCAGCAACAGCTTCTGGCATTAAATATTTACACAGATGCCAGTGCTCTCCTGGGTAATTTGACCCATATTTTGCATATGTTATGGTGGAATAATATTCGCAAATATGGTTTAAGTTCAAGTATAGTGTTTCAGGTCCTGTGAGGAGACATGAAGCTATGTGTGAACACTGTGAACTGCATGTCTCTATTTGAGTGAGTTCTGCACGCTGTAGTAGCTGGTGGTGAGCGGTCAGTGCCTTGGACAGTGACCTCAGGGCTGGGGCCATAGCGTGAGGGCAGCCACAGGCCTGCAGCTTTCCCAGCATTGTGTTTCCTGGCTGCTGAAAACAAAGCATAGTGTTCTCAGGCTCAGTCTGCTCTGCTGATGTGTGTATGTGTGTCGGGGGAGCTCCACGTCTGTGGCACACTGCTACAGTTGGATCAATGAATGCATTACATCATTACATACATTGCGCTGGGGAAACCTATGTAGGTAGCATTATTACTCTGCTTGCTGTGTTGCTGTTTTATATTCATAGTTATTTTGTTGTTTCTTTGTCTCCTTTGCAGCTTGTCCTGGCTTACAGTGGTGTTTCACATGCTGCTGCTGTTCTCAGCTGTTGTGATGGATTTTCCTCAGTCCTGAGCTTATCTCTGTGTACAGGTTGTTGTGATATTTGCCTGCAGTCCATTGAGTCTTTAACTTTCACGGTGTTTATCTATCTTTATTATGCTGAGTTATTAAACGAAAATGCCAGGGCTCATTCCCCCGTGGTTGGGGCTGGGTTTCTCGCCGCCTCCATCCCACACTGTGAAAGTCATTTCAATTTAAATATGCAAATCGGCTGCCCTCCCACACCATTGCCGATCCCAAAATGAAAAGAATACATTAAACTGATGAATACATTAACGGACTACATGTATTATCCTGTTGTCTGGGCTGTGACAGTAGCTCAGTGATGAGTTTACTTAACTCTCAGCAGGGTGGAACGCAGCGGGAGAGGAGGACTGCTCAGCAGCAGAGCGCCTGGAGCGGAATACAGCAGAGCAAGACAAATCTGATAGCTGTTGTCCCAGCAATTTAAAGTGCTACATTTTTCTTGTACTTCCCCCTGTGGGTCAGCTTACAATGCTTGTGGGTTCAAGTAATCGTAGTTTGTACACGACCATTTTCCAACCTCTTATTATTTCTTATAATTAAACAGACTGTTCTTTGCACCTTTAAGACTGATGTATGTAAATGATCTGATTGGCTGCGCTTTATTATGCCTCATTTAAAAAGCAGTCCGGGCTGAAACACTCCTTAGAACTTCAACATGAATAAGTGGAGCTAAACTGCTGCAAGCTGAACAGGCAGATACGTATAAATGTGCTTTTGGTCTGCGTTTTATCCATTTTTATAGATAGGAAAAGTATAGATAATATATTTTTATAGATAAAATAACTATAATAAGTGTCAGAAACCACATTTTGGGATTAATCACATGTATGAGATTAATTAAAACTCTTTGATTGTGAAATGAATGGCTGTAATCGGTATCAGGAGACATTTGCTTTAAAACTATCATTGGCATTAGACAGATGTTTAATGTATTTATTATACTCTGGAAGAGCAGAATCGTCAAGCAGTGCTGAGCAACTGTGCTAAAATAGGATCATATTATTATTTTTACTGCATTTATAACCCTTTTACAAATACGTTTTACATTTCTCTGTAATGCTAATCCAGGTGGATTTAGTCCCAATTTCTACATTTTTTTATTTTTATGTATCAGCATCAGAATTGGCAGATTTGTATATGAAAAATATCTGGTTATCAGCATCGGCTCACAATTCACTATAATCACTGCATCCCTAGTGATTATAGTGACAACATTTTAATAACATTAGGTTTCTACTTACAGCATGAGAGTAGCATCTGTTTGTGGCCCTGAGATCTGCTGTCCTTCCAGCTAATTAATAAAAAAATGAATTAAAATAAGAGATTTACACATTACTTTACTGAATGTATATTAACAATACAAGTAAAATTCCCCCATGTTTCTCCTTCTCTCTTCATAATTTTAGTGCAGAGGGAATCCCGACTTGGACTCTGACCAGCACTTATACTGGACTCTAATTGAATGCTTATATTATGACCTAAATCAAATCACATGGGCAATTGCTAGTATATTAGGGGGGAAAAGACATTCATTGGCTTTTTAAGCAGTAGTGGTCTGTCTAGACTCTGAAGGTCACTCTTTAGAGTGCTGTTTAATGGACTCTTCAGCGGTTACAAGCTCTAAGTGCATCACTCTTAACAAAATCCTCAAAGACCCTCAGCCCTTACAGAAACCTGTTATTCCTAACACGCTCCGCTAGCCAGTTCCCATTCTCATTCTGTTCCAGCTCCTGAGATACAACACAGTGCTGTCTATGGAGAGAAATATTAAAAAGCTCTGAAGTCAAGGATTTAATTGTGTAATTTCTGCTACTTGAAAGGACAGAACAGTAACTGTTGTACTAGTCATACAATGACTTGTCTGATTTTGCCTTCTCAGTAGTGAGAGTTGACTTTGGAGATAATGAACAAGGCGATGTGTAGCAGAGTCTCTATGATGACGTGCCGTAGATGTGTTTCACAGGCAGATAGATGGAGTGTTGTGCATGTATTGAAGTTTGGGTTATAAAGTTGTTGGCTGTGTGTAGCTCTCAGCTGGAGCTCGTCATGCAGGCCTTGGAGAGCTGTCTCAGTGTAAGTGCGTGCTGGGCCTTCCCTGCGCTCTGCCTGACTGTGTTAATGATGTGACATGGGAACTCTTCACCACCTGGTGCTCTGTGGATGTCAAAGTAAGATGTAGACACTAAGAGGAGAACTCAGTTTGAGCATGCCCTTTTCGTGTTTTTTTGACTTTATATTAATGGCAAAATGGGCAACACATGCACTACTGTTTAAAATGTTTGGAATCACTGTTTTTAATAATATAAAACAAATTTTGTGGAAGCTAGATGTTTATAAATATTCTAGTATGTTCTAGCACCTTAAGGACTGTTTTTCTGCCTAATCTAAGCCCAAGCTTATCATGGAATCAACTACTGCAATTCATAATTCTGGACTACTATTTGTTTTCAATGGTGATTCACCACTGGCTCTGCAGTAGATGATTCCATGATAATTAAGAATGAAGGTGTGAAATGATGCACAAAATTCAGATTTCAATACAATACAGTAGTGACTCTATACAATATATTTTTTGATACAGCAAAAATATGCAGTACCTTGTAGTAGTATTCTTAATGTATTTGTTGTTTTAGCAAGTCATAAATAATTATTTTTTCTCTTCTCCATCTTACCTTTCTATCTTTCTCTCTCTTTCTTAGCCGAGCTATCAAAACCAACCCAGACCTCCTGCCTGAGACACCTTGGACCAACATCCTGTATGATGACTTCTGGGGCACCCTTCTGACCCACAGCGGCAGTCACAAGTCCTTCCGGCCTCTCTGCACCCTCTCTTTCCGTCTGAACTACGTTCTGGGCGGCTTGGACCCCTGGGGCTACCACCTGGTCAACATGGTCCTGCACTGCTGTGTCACAGCGCTGTTCACTGCATTCTGTCACCCCCTGCTGGGTGGAGGCTGCTGGAGCTTATTAGCTGGGCTACTTTTTGCCTCGCACCCAATACACACAGAGGCAGTGGCGGGGCTGGTGGGCCGTGCAGACGTGGGAGCAGCTCTATGCTTTATGCTGTCTCTTCTATGCTATGCCCGCCACTGCAGGCTCCGGTCTGGGCGTTCTCACCTGCTCAGGTGGAGGGCGCGTACATGGCTGGCTGCAAGCTTGGTGATGGCAGCAGTTGCCATGTTGTGGAAGGAGCAGGGAGTGACTGTTCTGGCCGTGTCGGCTATATACGACATTTGTGTGGTTCACCGCTTGCACTTACGGCAGGTCATACTGGTGATTTTTAAGGTGAGTGAGATGGTGCACAGGTTTAAAGAAAATGTCTGTGCAGTGATGTACAGAACTTCCTCCAGGCCCAAAATAAATTTTACATTATAAGTTATTTATTATGAATTAAATTTAAATTATGGAAACAAATATGGATTTTTTTTTAAGTTTCACAAAAAAAAATCCATGTCAAGATTTTCTGTTGCTTCATAGTGATGTATTCTTACTTTAAGATGTTATGTAGGAAGGCCTTTACACTCTTGTTGTGTATGTGTCCCATATATTGGCCCAATTTTAATTATTTACAAACTCCTAAGTAAAAACACGATTTTCAGTTCATCAGAACTCTGCAGGAGAATCACTAGGAGCAAAACTAATGAATAATCAGTTAGTTGTACACTCTTGCTCAATACATTTAGTCAGACTCTTCTGTTTTATGTTAAGTATGATTAATTATCTTGAAATGTTTTTTTACAAAGTTAATGGTGCCTTTGGTCTGGACTGAATGTATTGTTTTTTTTTTTTGCGGGAATGTGCATAACCTATACATATACAGACAAACTATGTCTATTCAGAATATAAATGTTGTGCATATATTAGCAATGGCATGCAATAATTAGTAAATGAGTCAAATGGCTCTTGAGTTTACAGAAAGCATGTTAAATATATTGTGCATCAAGCTTGGGGTGCAAGTTGCTGCTACTGGGACATTAAACCAACAAGCAGCAGGAAGGTCTTCCGCTCTGCTGAAGTGAACCAGTTTGCTTTTCTCTATCTCCAAAACAGCGTCTTTCCCCAGTATTTTTGTGTTTCATTTCCTCTTCCCTTCCCTTGAGGAAAATTTGGCCAACGCTGACTAGATGCACTTCCTTTAATATCTGCCTTTGCTTGTGTGGAAGTAAGTGTGTGTATGTGTATGTGCATGTGCGTCTGTGTGTGTTTGTTTGTTTTTCATTAGGGTGTAATTTGAAAAACGTTTAGTGTGTATCCACAGCTGGGTAATCAGAAAATGAGCAGTGCTGTTTTTTTTTACTGTCCTCCTTGCTTAAACAGAAAGAGAATACACAGAATTGGCACGCCAAAGGAAGGCAAATAGTGGCATTGCGTGCGCATGAGCCATTGACCTTCATACTGTCAACAGGTACCCTTAACATCTTACCTCCCAGACCAATTACAGTGTCCATCCCCCAAACAAACTAAAGAGCATCATCCACAGACAAGGTCTGCAATGTTTGAGTGTACTCCACTTTAACTTGTCTCTCCTGTCTGTTTGTGAACGATTGCTTGTGTCTCCGTTAAGGCTTCCTGTGGCCTCCATGGCAGCTCTGTGTGTCTAAGCTGTTAGAGGATTTTATTGACAGATCTGAAGGAGTAATCTCTGAGACTAGGAAGCTTATGCTAACTGCTCAGCGGGGGGCACACCAAGAGACCCTAACAAACACCACAAACACCGTGTGTGTGTGTGTGTGTGTGTGTGTGTCAAGTTTTGCCAGATCTTTTCCACTCATGCCTCTAAGCTATTAGATTTATTAAAGCAGGGTTGCTGGAGGGACACAGTAAAGCTATGTTCGGTGATTTTCCTACTTTAACACTCCCTCTACGCATGATAATCTGTTGTTTCATTGTTTATTTATTTATTTTATTTATATTATTGTTTTTATTGGATCTCCTTTTGCTCATGGCAATGGCTGCTCACTCTAATGTGAAATTTAAAACATCAGGAACATTGTATATGGAATGTTATAAGACTTTACAAATTACAGTAATAATAGACCCTTTTAAAACAGGTAAAATAATACTGCCCAAGATGTTTCTGTCCATTCTTCCACTGTGAGAGCACAACTCAGTGCTTTGGGTCTGAAACATGTATAGCTGTCAAGAAGTTGTTCACGATGAAAGGACAAAGACAGAAAATAAGAAAATCTGCAAATCAAACAAAGAAGTTCCAGGTGTTTTTAGAACAATGGACTGTACGCATCAGAGAACAGAAAAAAATATCAATGAATGTGTTTGTGATTACTTGGATCATGAGAAGCAGAAAATGCAAGTAACATCTGAGACTTAACTTTGGAAGTCTGGAAAAATATCTCTGCAGATTTCTTCAAAAACTGAATTAAAATCTCACAAAAAGAATGGAAGCTGTAATAAAAGCAAAGGGTAAATGCTAATACTATGTTATATTTAGTTGTTGAGGCTTCTGTGTATTTTGTCCTTAAACTGAAACATGAATAACTTGTACTTAATGGCCATTTTGAGTGGGAATTAAATAAATGAATAGTGGTCTCCGACTGAGACTGCACAGTTCTGCATGTTTTCGAGCAGGAAAATAACTAAATTGTGTTGAAATCCAGCCTTTCAGTACTAGAGTTAGATGCTCTTGATTTACAGAATAGAAACATGTCTGTTGCAAGGAATTTCTGGATGCTTTTATTTTGATGGTGTATTTCCTTTGAGAGATACAGTATTTTGACAGTATATTGTAACATATTACCTGTATAGATACCTACTAAACCAAAGCTAAACTGTGTCGATTTACAGTATAACTATTTTTGTCTCAAACCTTATGGGCTACTATAACAGTTTTATATGCTCTCTTAAAGGTTTATCTGTTAAATTGGAACCTAATATTTTGGCAGTGGCCCCCACCCTTTTTCACACAATGGACCGGGGGCAATCTCACCAGGCCAGGCTCCACATGTACATGCCAACTCTGTAACTGGAGCCAGTGTTTCTGGAGCTTTTATCGTGCCCGCTGCACGCATCTCTCTGACTCTGCGTGCTTGTACACTTGAAGTTTGCGCCACATAGCTGATTGCACAGGCTCTCACGTCTGAGAGTATGGGAACGCAAACAGAGGGAGAGAGACAGGGGCAGCACTGAGGAAACAAGAGAGAAAGGAAAATATGCCCTCACTTCCTCTCTTATCTCTTTTGGTCCTTTCTCTCCATCATTCACTTCTTGCCCAATTGATTAGATTCCCATTTGAAGTTTGCAGAAAAACAATCAACGCTATGAAGTCCCACAAGATTATCGGTAATGGTTTTCTAAGCCACGTACCTTGTTTTTGTATTGCCTGCCATATTTCTCTATCATCACATGCATACAGATTGGAGAAACGGGAAAATGTGGGGGAAAGATTGGCTTGCCTCATTGATATTCCGCACACTTGTGAAGGCTCTCAGTATTAGGCCGGCTTTCATTCGACCGGACTGCAGTCAGAATCTAAAACAATGCACAAATGTAGATTGGCCTGACCGAGCAGGCATATGATGTGGATAGAAAGCAATTTTTCATCCCATTAGCTGTCTGATAAGACTGCAAAGTGATGAAAGTCGGGGCTGATTAGATGAATTGCATTCTGATTTTTTCTAAGAATATCAGCACTATATGGTGCGATTAGGTTAATGGTATTTTTCACTGTTGCAACCAAACTTGTCACTCACTCTTGAACTGCCTAATGGGAGAGAGAAGTAGACAGGAAACATGAAAAGCAGTAGAAGGCTGTGTACCAGCCACACATACAAAGCCATGGATGCATCATTTCACCATTATTATGATTATCATTTTTTTTACATCTATTTTTAGTCCGTTATTCTGGTTTCAGGAGGAGGAATCTCTTAAGCATGGCCACACTTGAGAGGGAGCACAAGTGAAGTATCAACTTCACATTCTTGCACACGTTTTTATTACATGGTGACATAAACAATATTCTATCTCGTTTGTCTCAGTGAAGTTTTGTTGAGGAAATTGAATAGACTGTAGACAGTTTGATTAATAATGTGCCAGTTATCCAGCGATGGGGCGTTCAGCTGTTAAATTATTCTGGGGTCTGCCTACACTACACACATAATGAGCAATGCTTGTACTGTGATTGTGTGTGTTATAAAATATGTAACATGAATGCCTCCATTGTCTTTTTTACAGTCCATGCTTGTGAGACAAGTGCCACATATGATGTCAGGTACATTTGATTCCTTTTTTAGGTAATGTTTAGATAATTAATTATTATTATTATTATTATTATTATTGTATTATATTATTATAAGTAGTAGTAGTAGTATCATTATTCTGTATTCTCATTCATTGTCATTAGTTTTGGAGGTCTCTAAATTGAGAGATGCTAATTAAAATTGTTCATCCACTGTTTTAGCACAGTGGGTTCTTACCCATTATGTGCAGTGATCAGCTCCATTTAGAACAGGCCCTCTTTTATCCTTTCCTACAGCAGTATTGTGTAATGAGGTTACTTCATCAAAGTCAGTCTCTCAACACCCTGTTTTTGTGTGGTTAAATGCCAGAATTTGTTGAGTCAGCAAATTGCTCAATATATTCAAAGGACATGTAGTATGTTTTTGTTTGTTTATTGCAAATCAGGGAGTATTTCACAAAGCAAGATTTCTCAGTTAGCCTAGAAAACAAGAATGTCCAATAGGAGAAGAGCTAAAGAACGTTCCTATTGGACAATCCTCAACTTTTGGCTTAAGTTATCCAGCTTACTGAGAAATCTTGCTTTGTGAAATGCCCCCAGAGAACTTCAGTGATGCCCAAACATTGCACCATGTAGCCAACCTTAAACAGCCTTCACAATTTGTTGTAAGAAAACTGGGCGATAGCTGTGATTTATCCTTTCAGCACGAGTTGTCGTGTAGACTGTGTCACTACCAAATCAGTGGATAATGATGATAAAATAGGAGTCATCCTAAGGTTTTAAAATTATTTAGGTGATCTAATTTAATTTTCTAGACCAAAAGTAAATATTTACTGAAAGGATCCATTCTACACTTTTCTGTATTTTATTGTTTTCTTTGAGTTTCACTTATAAGGTTTGTGTAGGGGTTAGTGATTTATGACCAAAATGGTCATAATTCATATCTACATGACTATTTTCCAACCTCTCTTTATATCTTAGAATTAAACAGTCTGTTCCTGTTGATGTGCCTTTAAGACTCATATATGTAAATAACGTCTTACTGGCTGCCCTGTATTGTGCCATCTTCAAAAAGCAGTCCAAGCTGAAACACTCTTTATAACTTCAGTTTGAGTGGGTGGGGCTAAAACACTGTGGACCTGAATAGGTGGTCATATGCAAGTGTCTTGGTTTTGTGGCATCACAAAAACAGTCAATCCAAAACGGGCTGCTTGTGCAGCTTAATTTCCATAGACGGACTGTACAGACTGGGGAGTGAACAGTACATTTTAAAACCTCTACAGTGTTTACGTACTGCATCCAACTCTTTAATTAAAAAAGTTATTAAATTAATTTTATAATAATTCAATTTCCATGATATGGGCCCTTAAGGTAAGGTAATTTTGAATTAAACTTAATAAGCTAAAATAGCTACTAGTCTTCATTATTTCAACAAATCCTGACACTTGCATAGTAAGATGGGTGTAGATTTTTAAATTTCTTTCTCTTTCCTTTCCTCTTTCAGGAAGCCCTCTCATCTGCCTTTTTGTTTGTATCAGAAATAAAGTGCTGATCAATTCATGAGCTCTCTAGCTGATTTGGGATTTGCCATTCTCTCCAATTGATTTTTGTCTATTAAGCAAAGAAACAAGCATTTGAGGAATTGAGGAATCAGATACGATTGATCTGTTTCATTTAAATGCTCTGAACAGTTTGCCAATAAAGACAATACATGTGTATAGATAGTTAAGCTCATCACACTGCCTGAGGACTTGTGGCTAGGTGGATTGTAGTTGTGGGTTTAAGGCTCTTGTATGTGCTAGAAAGGGATCAATGCCTATAGCATCTATAGCATTTCACCCATTATCATCAATACCACCCAGTATCATACCTCAGCAGTACCACAGAGATAAAGAATCAAAAGATTAAAAATGCACACATGCAGATACTACACCTACATCCATTCAGAAATATAGTCTAGGATTCATTACTGATCAGGGCTGGGTTTCCCAAAAGCACCTTAACTGGTACCATTTTAACTGGTAGACAGAGTGCTCAGTGTGATGCTCCTGCTAACGTTTGAAAGTTCTCTTTGTAAAGATGCTTTTGGGAAAACACAGCTTATCTACTAGATTAGTTACTTGTCTGAAGTTAAAAAGATGGACTTAAGAAGTGATTTTAGAATATGTTTGAAGGTTATTTTCGTGTGCTTGTATTTTTGTTTGTTTGTTTGTTCAGCGTTTTTGCTTTTTTAATCACTAAGAAGAATTTGTGAAAACACATACATTCAACAGTGTTAAATTCACTTTAGTTTTTAAAGACTCACAGAGTCATGCTGTATTGTGAGGACCAGCCTTTGGGTAGTTACTCAAAAAAGTAATCCGTTACAAATTACTCATTACTTCTCAGTAGGAAAGTAGTAGTCCCATAATCCTTTCATTAAGTTATGTTGAAAGAAATAGCCAGTCAATGTAAATATCATAAAACATATGTGACTATTCCTGCTTCTGAACACAGAGCCAGTTATGCTTTATTAAAATTATGAATGGCTTATGTTTCTTGAAAACCTAGAAAGCAGTCAGCATAAACAGTGCAGAAGCATCTGCCTCAAAGTAAATTGTTTATGAATGAAATGTAAAGTTTACAGAGCTGCTTCTGAATGAAAATCAGATCTGGTCTGTTTAGGTGAGGACGAACATCCGTTTCATATAAGCATAGAACATGTGATGAAAATAATTTAAACTATAACTCGCACTGCATCAGAAAAAGTAATTATATTACTGTAGCACATTACTTTATACTACTTATACTACTTTATACTACGTTACCTGCACCACTGTTGAGAACCTACCCCCATAACAGCAAGCCTACTACATGCTTCAAACTTATTCAGTCCAGAAGAGTGAGCAAAGAAAGATGTGCAGGGTGATAATAGGTGATATGAACAGCACCTTCAGCACCTACCCTCCATCTTCACAGATTGAATAGTAATTAGTGAGGAGCTTTACTGCTCTATGCCTTTGATCCTGTATGTCTCCTCTAATGGAGAGGAAATGCAAAATAGCTTCAGCTCTCCATTTCAGTCTGTCTTTACAATGTACTGGACATATTTATACTAATGAATCTGTACTCAGTAGTTTGTGTGTATGGTTGTATGTACAAAAACTTACATTTTAAGAGACTCGCTGACCATTTGTAGCAGAGAAATGGCAAAAATTTGCCATGTTTTTGTGCTTGTGACAAGTGACTGGGTCTGAAGCAGTGGTTGCCAGTAACACTGTTCCACTGGTCGAGTTGAACCATCCAGGTCTATTACCACTTTATATGATATTTATTTAACAAATAAGAATAAGAATTGCAGAAAACCAAGCACTAATGACAAAACAGCCTCTAATGTGAATTTAATCTTAATCAGAGGTGGAAAAAGTACACAAAACTATCCTTAAGTGAAAGTATAGATACTGTGTCAAAATATTACTCAAATAAAAGTGGAAGTATGGAACTAAAAATATACACTGACCCGTCACTTGATTAAGTGCACCTACTTGTAGCTACACTCATTGTCCATTTTATCCCACTTACCATATAGGAGCACTTTGTAGTTCTACAATTACAGACTGTAGTCCATCTGTTTCTCTGCATACTTTGTTCACCCTTTTCTTCAATGGTGAGGACCCCCACGGGACCACCACAGAGCAGATATTATTTGGGTGGTGGATCATTCTTAGCACTGCAGTGACGCTGACGTGGAGGTGATGTGTTAGTGTTTGTTGTGCTAGTGCGAGTGGATCAGACACAGCAGTGCTGCTGGAGTTTTTAAACACTATGTCCACTCATTGTCCACTCTATTAGACACACTTACCTTGTTGGTCCACCTTTTAGATGTAAAGACAGAGGGAGTAGCTCATCTGCTACAGAAATTTAAATGCTAAATGTGTTTTAAATGTTGGAAATAAGTTATGCTACTGTTTGACTTACACTGTTATGATTTTTTGGCAACACATTCTAACCAAAACTAATTATTTTTTTAGGGATCACTGTAAAAGTGATACTAAGAGTGGATAAATGAATACACTAAATAAAAGTCAAGTATAGTCCAGTGATTATGAATTTCATTTCCATGAGCTTTAGTAGGTTTTTACTGGAGAATGGGAAACACTTAAGTAGTTGCCAGTGGTTTCATCTTACCAAACTAATTGATAGAGCACTATTTCCATATTATGAAACACAAGGATAATAAAGCCTAACATTTAAAACTGCATGTCCTTCAATGAGCATAAATGATCAAATCATAGTGATGTCAGAGGACATGAAAAGATCACGCAGAATACAGAAGCTTGTACTAAGAGGAATAGTAAACCCCAGTGCTCTTACAGAATTGGTAGATAGATCTGACTTGTGTTTGCTCTTTTATTTTTTCCAGAGGAGGAACGTAAGCCTACTGGTAAGCCTGGCTTGGCTGGCTGGCTGGGGAGTAGTGCTGCTGGCTGCTAGGCTGTACTGGATGGGCAACAGGCCTCCAAACTTCTCCAACTCTGACAACCCAGCGGCTGATTCACCTCATCTCCTCACCAGAACACTCACCTTCCTGTACCTGCCAGCTGCCAATGCCTGGCTCCTCCTCTGTCCTCACACCCTCAGTTTTGACTGGTCTATGGATGCCATACCCCTCCTCAGAACTATTGCTGACTGGAGGAACTTCTACTCAGTTGCATTTTACTCAGGATTTGTGCTCCTTGCTTGGTCTGGCTTGAGAAACAAAGATTCCACCGTGTTCCACAAGACCAATGGAAAATCCCATGTCACCAATGGAAAGTCCATGATAAACGGCCTCCATCACATTGACGGGGATCAACACCACAACAACAATCACCACCACAATGGCTTAACTATGTTAGAATTTCCTAAGAACACACAGAATGGGTGTGCCAAACCCCTTCCCTCTGCCACTCGTGCCTCACTGCCATCCAAAGAGAACATGGTAGTCTTTTCCCTTAGTCTGCTGGCTTTGCCTTTCCTCCCTGCAACCAACTTGTTCTTCTATGTGGGCTTTGTGGTGGCTGAAAGGGTGCTGTACATCCCCAGCATGGGCTTCTGTCTTCTGGTGACGCTGGGGCTGAGGTCTTTGTATGTTTCTATGAGGCGAAAGAGCTCCAGAGTGCTGCTGCTGAGCTGTGCTGCTGGTGTGGTCCTGCTCTATAGCCTTAAAACAGTCTACAGGAACCAGGACTGGCGGAGTGAGGAAATGCTCTACAAATCTGGCATCACAGTTAATCCTGCTAAAGGTAGGAGAGCAGAGGACTGGCTTTTTAATTTTAGGTGTTCCATACATTTTTTTTTTTTTGCAATTTGTTCTTCTGTAATAGCAACAAGGCCATGGGCATTTATATAAATAAAACAAATGTTGTTGGTCAGCTCTGCCAAGAAATGGAGGAATGCTTCTGTAATTAATAAACTACTTTTCTGTCTTTCAGCCTGGGGTAACCTTGGCAATGTCTTGAAGAACCAGGGCAAGATGGCAGAGGCAGAGGAAGCATACAGAAACGCGCTATACTACCGCAGCAACATGGCTGACATGCTTTACAACCTGTAAGTTCTCAGTCCTACTCATTCAAACCCAAATTCAATTCTTTCCACTGTCCTTAGCCTTTCCTGGAAATCTAGTTGGATAGACCAGCAAACAAAGCACCCAAATGATGCAAATTGATGTAAATACATGAAACATGTATCCCTTCCAACCGGGCGATTTAATGAACGTTCGTATAGAAAACTGGTTGTTTTTAGCTGTATTGGGTTATAGTTTTTTTGTGCTAGAATCAAAATGTGCTCTGTCTGCTATAACTTATCAGTTGTCTCTTGTTCTCTCGCTAAGGGGTCTGCTGCTGCAGGAGAGTGAACGCTTCTCTGAAGCTCTTCATTACTACAAATTGGCCATTGGGAGCAGGCCGACCCTGGCTTGTAAGCTCGTCACATCTCCCCTTAGTTTCACTAAGTAGAGTCAATTATTGAACTAATTTTGTGTCTCAGTCTCTGCTTCATTCAAATAAATGTATCCACAATGAAAATATTGAAAGTAATTCTATACTTTGCTTACAAGATGGATGAAACACTTGTTTTAATTGCATCAGGCTTATTACATTGTTGCTTAGCACATCTTTTTGCATCACGTTCACCACTATTCTCATTATTTCCTTCTCTGTAACAGCTGCATATTTGAACACTGGTATTATCCTGGTGTCTCAAGGAAATGTGGATGAAGCCAAACGCACCTTTCAGACCTGTGCAGGCATCCCAGATGAGAACCTGAAGGACCCCCATGCTCACAAAAGCTCAGTCACCAGCTGCCTGTACAATCTGGGCAAGCTGCTGCACGAACAGGGCCAGCAGGAGGTACTGTAATGTCTGGCACCCAGCACTACAGCATTTCACTGGGCTCCCTATCCTCCATAGGGTGGTCAAACATGGCCTGAGAGAGTGTTGTAAACCAGTCATAAGACTCTGCCTCCTCTGCACATTGGGAAACTGAGCTTTAAGATAAATTAGACCCAGGGATAAGCTGGAAACGAGCCCTAGGTCTCAGTACTCAGGAGAGGCAGAGAGTTTTTGTTTAGGCAGACTGGATACAGTCATTAGATACACTGTATGGCCAGAAGTATGTGGATGCCATGTCTTTATGGACCTTGCTTTGTGCACAAGGGCACAGTCATATTGGATTAGGAAAGGGCCTTCCCCAAACTGTTGCAAAAAAAGTTATATGTATAAAATTGTCTAAAATAACTTTGTATCCTGTGACATTAACATCGCCCTTGACTGGAATTAAGGGGCCTTGCTAAAAAACAGATCCAGACCATTACCGTTCCAGTAGATAGTGTTCTCCTGGCATCTGCCAAACCCAGATTAATTCATCAGACTTCCAGATGGTGAAGCGTGATCCATCAGTCCATTCCAGTGGTTCCAGTGTCCATTGGTGGCGTGCTTTACACTACTCCAGCCCATGCTTGGCATTGCTAGTGATCTTAGACCTGTTTGCAGCTGCTTGGCCATTGAAACCCTTTTCATGAATTTCCAGACACACAGTTCTTGTGCTGATGTTGCTTCCAGTTTGGAACTCTGTAGTAAGTGTTGCTACAGAAGAGAGGCGATTTTTATGTGCTTCAGCTTTACTCGCTCTGTGAGTTTGCGTGGTCTGCTGCTTTGTGGATGCCTGAGGCAGATCTAGCAGGGCAGAAATTCACAATCTGACTTGTAGCAGCAGTGGCATCCTTTAGCTGTGCCACATTTAAAGTCACTGAGCTCTTCAGTACGACCCATGCTACTTCCAGTGAATGAATGTAGCTAAAACACCTGAACTAATTTGGAGGGATGTCCACATACTTATAATGTATAATGGGTCCACTGTAGGTGCCACCTTTGTGCCACTTAACTATTCACCTTGAAAGATAAAATGCACCCATTTCATCTATGTATTTTACTGTGTTACACTGATATTTACCTCAGTGGCTGATCTTTTTTATTGTTTTCTGATTTGTCACTGTTCTGGACTTCACAGGAGGCACTGTCTGTGTACAAAGAAGCTGTGAGGATGATGCCTCGCCAGTTTGCACCTCAGAGCCTTTATAACATGATTGGTGAGTTAACAGAGGATGCTTTTAATTCAATCTATTTCATGTTTGCCAAGTGGAGGGAGGTGAAAAACATAAAACAGCAGTGGGGCAAAATAGCTAGAAAGGTTGCATCCTGTTCCTGGGACCTGTTTGATTTCCAGTGATACCTGAGGCCATCTGAGGCCAGGAGTCCATTGGCAGGGTTCACACTCCGTGGGAAGGATGGCTTAGTCTTCTTTGCTCAGACTTTACATGTAATTGATCTATCAATGTGCCACCCAAAAATATGTTCTTTCGTAGTTGTTTCATTCTCTTGTTAGACGTGCTTTACAGACCCTTGACAAAAATCCCAGGCTCAGGCTCATACATGTAGCATGCAGCTCAGTTTTTTTTTTTTAAAGCTTGTGTATATTCTGTAAAACTTGCCCAACCTCATCTTACATCTTTGGTCATATGGCAAGAATTGGTTAGTTAGCGCTCTTCTAAACTGTGTTCAGCTGTTCTACAGCATTATGTGAGTTGCAGCTTGAAAAGATCTGGAAATTAGTTATCTGTGACATGCAGGGAGGATGTGTTGGCCCTCAACCTCCTAGATTGGTCATTATCAAAAAACAGGGGTAACATGCTGAAAATAGGAAGTGAGAAACACTGGGAGAAAATGGGGCAAAAAAAGAAGAACAAACATCCTGCTAAGACTGGAATGGGCTAGACAAAAATTAAGAGGGACAGAGCACACCTGTTTGTGCAGCTAGAGTGAGATTTGAACCTAGGGGGAGGACAGCCACTGCTGATATATGAGGGAGATGTATTTCTCATTACAAAGGCCAGTTTTATAACCACAGTGCTCCTGGCCTGCACACTGTTTTTCACAACATAAACATCACTGAACAAGCATTCCACTGCATAGTATTGTCAGAATGGACTACAATGTATGCTAGAGCACAAATGGGGCTTTAACAACACCACCTAGTGTTTATGTGTAAAGACATTTTTGACAAGACATTGATTTTCCTCTATTGCTTTGTCTTTAAATCTTAATCAAATGCTAACTGCCACAGAAAGTTTGATTCAAAAATTCAATGACCTTGAATTTAATATTAAATTAATTCCCCTTAATATTACATTATTAGAATGTAACAGTTGAAGGTTTCTGTTTTTCTTATTTTACACATAAATGATAGATATCTACATACCACAGTGAAAAAAACAGTTGTATGACAGATTATCCGCAGTTAACCTTGACCTTTGGTGTTTGACCTCTTCAGGTGAGGCTTATATGAGGCTGAATAATCTAGAAGAGGCGGGGCATTGGTACAGAGAATCACTGAAGGCCAAGCTGGACCACGTCCCTGCCCACCTAACCTATGGGAAGCTGCTGTCTGTCATGGTGAGTCAGACTGTTAATCATCCTTCACCCCTCCTCCTTAATATTAAGCATCTAATCTGTTTGTGAGTTAACCACCTTCTCAGTGGACTTCAGTGGATCACTGATATGCCAAGAAGTTGTTAATAATTTGTTATTAGATTTTTTACATTTTTATTAGATTTTTTTGGCATTAAAGTAAAGGAAATGCACTGTACTGAAACAAGTGTATAATTAACACGTGTACAGTTTCACAATATGAAGGTAATGAGAACCTCACAGTTAAGAAAGAGGAGAGAGTTGCACATTGAAGTGCAACACACACAGAAACACACACACACACACATACATACATCTCTCTTTAACACCATTTTGCATTATGACTGCCTTTAGCTTCATTGGGTGTTTTGAGGGGTCAAAGTTCCTGTTATATAAATGCTCTCAGCTACCAAGCATCAACTGTAGCATGAGAACTGCTAACATTAATGTAAAGCAGATGCCAAATAAACAGCCAGTCAGAGTGGAAAAGCTGGCATATCTGTAATAATGATATTTACTTATGCTTTAGCAAGTCATATTTCTATCTGGAATAACTGAAATGATATTCAGTGGGTGGTTAAGGACCATTCATTCCTTTTGAATTTATAGAATGGATCTGAAGAAAGATCAAGGTGACCTGAGAACTGTGAAGTTGGCTGAGTCTTGGGGTTTCAGCTGTGATTCTTGCATATGTTAATGTAGATTCTGATGGGATGTGGTCTTTTTAACAGGGTCAGACAGCAGAGGCAGAGCACTATTTCCTGAAGGCCATAGAGCTGGAACCCACCAAGGGAAACTGTTACATGCACTACGGTAGGGCAGTACAACCAGATGTAATCTCTTTAATTATTAATAACAATAATTAATAACATTTAAGCTGCTGATGAGCAGATAGTAAGAGTTTTCTTTCACAGTATGAACCAAATGTTGACATGTTTAAGAGCTCTGTATTGAGGTGCTATTATTTGGGAGATGCAAAATTAATCTATCCATACACAGAAACTGTGCTCTGATCTTGCTAATGGAAGCCACTACCCTCTATTGCTGTTCTCAAGCTGCATTACAGAAGATCTTAATGCTTAATTCTGCTGTTGACATGAAAAATGGCAGACATTGTTCACATGGATTGTTAACTTATTTTCGGCTGAAGGAAATTATTTTTGTAACATACCACTTCAATTTATTGATTTTAAGGGGTCAGGAGGTCATTCTGTGCCATAATTACTGTTGTCTTGCTGTTACCTTTTTATTTATAGGGAGTTATGGTTGAATGTGCAAATCATTTCATGATCACATTATTTTAGGGTTTGGTCAGAATCATCATTGTCAATATATTTAACCCCCACCATCCCCTTTCAGGTCAGTTTCTGCTGGACCAGTCTCGAGTAACAGAAGCTGCTGTAATGGCAGAGAAAGCTGCTGAACTGGACAGCTCAGAGTTTGACGTAGTTTTCAGCGCAGCTCATATGCTCAGGTGTGTGTGTTATATATGGTCTTTAACAGACTGCAGATTCAGAGATGTAAAGGCCTGGAGATGTAAGGCCTCTGATGGATGAGGGATAAAATGCTTGGTCATTAAGAAGGAACCCCAGATCCCACATTATCCTCTCTATGACTGATCCCTTCTGTCTTCAGGATACCACACAAGCCTCCCATACACAGGAAATATAAGCAGGGAACTCTAAGACCACTATGTCCTTTTACCTATGCTCACTGTCCCCCACGTCATCTTCAATAAAATTGAAGAGTTAGTGGGACATGAGAGGTGTAAGAGATCCATGGTTTTCTGATCATATCTCTTCCACAGTGTTCCCCTCTTTTTGGGATTTAAAACAACACTATCGATAAAGTGGGTTTCCCCTTGACTGTAGAGCCACACTTGTATTAAGGATATTTTCAATATGTGTCAAGAACAACAGCAAGTATTGACTTCCTCAGTTGATTCACCAGGCATTGAGGGTGGAGTACATCAACTGTTCCCTGTCACCCACAACTGTTGTATCATCACAGCATGCTAGTACACTTCATATAAATTTTTAACCTATTTTAATATGTGTTTTGTATGTCTTTAGGCAAGCCAGTCTGAATGAGGCAGCTGAAAGATATTATGGAAAAGCAGCAGATCTAAGACCAGATGTAAGTGTTCTATTAAATCCACAGCCATTAATATAATTAAAAGCATTAAATTATAATATTATGATTTAATTATAATATTGAGGGTTGAACTGGCAGGACAGGAGCAATAGACAGGACAAACATAGGAGCAGGAGGAAGCACAGACACAGAGCAACACACTGCAGAGGAAAGACAGGACAGGCAAAGGTCATGAGACAGGACAGACACAGGGGCAGGGAACAGTGCTGGAGTGCTGATCTTGGCTTTGAGGGCCTTGTTAGCAACCTCTGAGGTGACCACAGGTGTAGTGAGAGGCACAGGATGAGACATGGGCTAAACAAAGTATGAGGCTGCAGGGGAAAGTGGTGACATAATCAGCCACTGTTATAAAAGCTGAAGAGGTTGTGGACGGTGTGGCCCACTCAGATGCAGTGGAAGAGCCACATTGGCTGCAGGATGCCAGCACTCTATACTACATACAGTCATAACACATCCACACAGAAACACACATGCATATTTTGTTCATTGTCAGTACTATAAACATTCACTAAACTCAACTGTGTTTTTTTTTTTTATTAAAACAAGAAGTATAAAAATGCTTTTCATGAAGAAAATCACTCACTGTTTTTTCAGCTTGACCACTAAATCATTTGGTCTCACTCTCTCTCAGTATGCTGCTGCTCTGATGAACCTCGGGGCCATCCTCCACCTCAATGGGAAACTTCAGGAAGCCGAGGTCAACTACCTCCGTGCCCTACAGCTCAAACCAGATGACCTGATCACACAGTCCAACCTGCGCAAACTCTGGAACGTCATGCATAAACAGAGTGTGAGGGGCTCGGGGTCATGACCCTGCTTTAGATACTGACCCCTACAGATGGAGGCAGTTGTCAGTAAGAGTTTGAGGCTTGTGCTCCTCTGGTGTGGACAGGTTGGTGATGTGGGAGCAGAATCAGCACAACAGGCAGAAGCAGCTTGCATGGATCTGTGAGTCTGACAGATTGAGAATTGTGGTTGTGATTACTGAGTGTGAACTGATCCACTGTGGTTGGAGGACGTCCACCTCACACCCTGATGACCGAGAGAGGACCAGTGGAAGAGTACTTAAAAACGGCAGTACTTCACTTCTAGAACCGTCTGCTGTGAATGACACACAGCTGAAGGAAAGGAGTTTCTGTATTTTGTGAGTCATTCTGAAGGCCAGAGTTGTGATTATCATAATTGGTCATTTCTGCTGTTCACTTACAACACACTCAAGTGTGAACTAACAGGAGAAATTTTGAATATTATTTTCAGTAAAATTAAAAAACCTAGAAAGATTGTACCAAGAATTGAATGCCATGAATGAGAAATGATCATATACTGTATGTCGTTATTGTTTTTGTATGTAAACTGTTAATTTATTGGGGGCCTTTTTCACTCCCACATTAATTAGTTCAGCAACAAATGAACAAATGAACTGTTCCTCCTCAGAAATGTCAGATCATAAACAGCTCTCTGTTTGAAGATGCCCGTGAGTGATAGATCCTAGTTCTAGATTCACTGAAGTTTATTTGAGCGATGGTCTTTTCTTGGTAATTTATTATTAAACATATTGCAATCATCTTGTTAATTATTATTATTATTATTATTATTATTATTATTATTATTATCAGTGTTCCACATCACTCCTTTACCAAATTGAAGGCAATAAAAGGTCATGCTGATTGTCCTGAAGTTAGTCTGTGATTCCTGTCTGGATTCAAAATTTTCCTTTTTACATAACTTAATATCTCACTCATTCTTAAAATGCTCACTCACTCA